AAACTTACTAAGATAACTAACAAAAATAGAAACTTACTAAGAGCTTCGAAAACGAGAAGCTTTGGATGAACATAGCATATAGAAAAAGAGGAATTCGTATCTATGCAGTGTAACCTAGTGCAAGATGCGACATCTTACTTAAAGAGGAAACGTTTATTGTCAATAATACCACTGCTTCGAGAAATGTCTCCAGAGGGAGCCACGATAGATCCCCTGACGCCCATCCACGTCATAGTTTAATTAAATTTGAGGCCACTCCCTAATGTGGTATGAAATATCATTTCGTTTATTACATATGGGCACAGCAAAGATTCATCGGGAATACTTCTTGGACATCAGGGAATAATATAATATAATATACAGTGATGAAAGAGTAACTCCCTATTTTATAAATGAGTGGCCAGCCTGGAATCATGAGTTAACAACCTGTGACTTTTTTTCTTTGGGGTTGGTTAAAGGAACAAGTATACTATACAAAACAAAGATTTCCGAAGAATTTGAAGGCCGAATAAAAAAAATTATGTTCTCCATAACACAAGAGTTCCTGATGAAATCAGTTGAAGAGATTCCTGGGCGGCTCGAGATGCTGGTAGACAAAATCTGGTGCCAATATCGAATTTTAAATAAAACCTAATGCTAAACGCTTTCCTCTCATATCCATTTCTTGTAAAAAATTATAGTTAATATATAAAGTATAAATATTTTAAAATGGGGAGTTATTTTTCAGTCAGGACGTGTATAAGTTACACTTTCCCCTTGCCTCCTTGATGCCGGTGCCGAAACATGTGACAGAATTCTGAATTCTACCAACCACCCTGTAGAATTGTTTGGAAGAACAGACGCTGAAATATCTGAAAACGTTTACTTACCGCGCAGATGGCGTACAATAATTTCTTTGCTTCTGACGGCATTGGCGAATATGAATATGTATATCTCTACAAATACCTACCAACCAAGGATTACCTGTCGTGCAGTGATATTTAGTGGGTGTGTCTTTCTAACTATTGCAAGATTTCTCATTGAGCATTTTATGAATAGTCGGTAACAAAAATACCTTAGCGCAACAAACATCAATATTAATGGCCGGCCAAACGCAGTTGATTATCTTTACTAGACATTTCTATCTTCGTTTTATTTATTTTTTTTCTATATGCGGTGTCCTTTCAGGACGTAGGCGATCATGGCTCTCCACAATTTCCTGTTCTTCATAGCTCTTATTATATTCTGTCTTTTTTCTTATTTCCCCTAAATCTAGTTCCGCCGTCCATTAAAATAAGTTCAGTCTTCTTTTTCTATGTGCCATGTCCTTTCAAGATGTTGGAGAACATGGCTCTCCACAATTTCCTGTTCTTCATAGTTCTTAATAAATTTTGGCTTTATATTATTTCTGCTAACCCTTGTCCCGCCATCCATTAACACAACTTTTTTTTCTTTTATGTACCATGCCCTTTAGGATAGAGGCGAGCATGGCTCTCCACTACTTCCTGTTCTTCATAGCATTTTTATAAATTTTGTCTTTTTTCTTATTTCTCCTAAACCTTGTTTCGGCGTCTATTAACATGAGCACATTCTTCTTCTTCTATGTGCCGTGTCCCTTGACGTGGGAGGCGATCATGGCTCTCCACAATTTCCTGTTTTTCATAACTCTTAATAAATTTCGTCTTTCTTCTTTTATCTGTTAAACCTTGTTCCACCATCCATTAACACAAGCTCATTCTTCTTCTTCTATGTATCGTGTCTCTTCAGGATGTAGACGGTCATGGCTCTCCACAATTTCCTCTCCTTCGGAATTCTTAGTAAATTTTGTCTTTTTGTTATTTCTCATAAATATTGTTCCGCCATCCATTTACTCAAGTTCACTAAGTATGTGATGCGTTGCCTCCAACCTTTTCTGTGAGTATCACATTTTCCAAGCCCTCTTTCCTCATTATGTGCTTTAGAAATTTCAACTGTCACCCTCTGATGTTAAGTATAAGTTTCCATTTTGTTTTCATTTTCTCTAACACGGCGTCATTGCTAAATCCATAGTATCGTCAGCAAGCTGGGGTATTCACTGCCATATAGGAGGACTGATATTATGTAACAGTTCAGTACTCTTTTCTTTGTTTCTGTTGCTTCAAGTCTCTTCTTCATCTGTGAGGAGATTGTCCAGCATTCACTGCCATATAGGAGGACTGATATTACGTAACAGTTCAGTACTCTTTTCTTTGTTTCTCTTGCTTCAAGTCTCTTCTTCATCTGTGAGGAGATTGTCCAGCATACACTGCCATATAGGAGGACTGATATTACATAACAGTTCAGTACTCTTTTCTTTGTTTCTGTTGCTTCATGTCTCTTCTTCATCTGTGAGGAGATTGTCCAGAATTCACTGCCATATAGGAGGACTGATATTACGTAACAGTTCAGTACTCTTTTCTTTGTTTATGTTGCTTCAAGTCTCTTCTTCATCTGTGAGGAGATTGTCCAGCATTCACTGCCATATAGGAGAACTGATATTACGTAACAGTTCAGTACTCTTTTCTTTGTTTCTGTTGCTTCAAGTTTCTTCTTCAACTGTCAGGAGATTGTCCAGCATTCTCTGCCATATAGGAGGACTAATATTACGTAACAGTTCAGTACTCTTTTCTTTGTTTCTGTTGCTTCAAGTCTCTTCTTCAACTGTCAGGAGATTGTCCAGCATTCACTGCCATATAGGAGAACTGATATTACGTAACAGTTCAGTACTCTTTTCTTTGTTTCTGTTGCTTCAAGTCTCTTCTTCATCTGTGAGGAGATTGTCCAGCATTCACTGCCATATAGGAGGACTAATATTACGTAACAGTTCAGTACTCTTTTCTTTGTTCCTGTTGCTTCAAATCCCTTCTTCATCTGTGAGGAGATTGTCCAGAATTCACTGCCATATAGGAGGACTGATATTACGTAACAGTTCAGTACTCTTTTCTTTGTTTCTCTTGCTTCAAGTCTCTTCTTCATCTGTGAGGAGATTGTCCAGCATTCAATGCCATATAGGAGGACTGATATTACGTAACAATTCAGTACTATTTTCTTTGTTTCTAATGCTTCAAATCTTTTCTTCATAATTGTGAGGAGTATGTCCAGCATAACCTCGATATATGTAAAGAGAGGCGTTAGTTAAAATTGGCGCCAGGGGAGCATATGGGTTTATATTTTTTTAAAATCTATTGACTGTCGTATATATTTATACAATCTTTACAGAGCTGGTAAGAAGAGTACACATATCAGCTCCAAAATGTTTACATAATCTCAGTAAACATCGATAAGCTTTTATTAATTAAACGATAGAAAAATACGAATCTTATTTTTGTCTAAATTTGTTTATGTTCTCTTTTGGACGGCTGCCTGATACATAAGCGCGCATTCATTTGGGAAGTCAATACACGCTTATCTTAAATCTTTTATGAATTAATCTTGAAGAATGTGTAGGCTAGACAAAAATAGCCAAGTCTACTGTACTGATCAAAACTCTGACAACCTGAACTAAATGAAGATGGTTTCAAACCCTGACAGTAATTAAATAATCTTAGTTCAGGTTTTCGTACATTCATTCATTTGATTTGGTTAGCGGATTTTGTGCCGTCGTTGTCATCACCACGCCATCTCACAATTTTGGCCCATGGTGACATTCGAAGAGAATAATGTAATGGCTTGTCAGTTCTTTTTGTTACGGAGATGTTGGGGTTACCTTGTCCCTTCTTTCAGACGTGGATTGTTTTTTAAAGTTAAAAAGGCAGTATCTACAAGGCAGCAGGTTGTATGAATTTTACAGTTTCCTTCGACTAGTCTGCTTGCCACCCAAGGCTATAGGGCCCAGTCTGTTCTGCTATTTTACCCATAGCTGGGGAGAGAATAGAGGAATCCATACCTTACCTAAGGGTATTAACACATGAGTGAATTATGAATTATAAGTGAATTCATGTGATTATAAAATAAAAAAGACATTTTTATAATAATAATAATAATAATAACCTCTATAACAAAGAGATTTGTTGGGAACATCATTAGTTTTGTTCAGTTAGAATATATCTGCACCACTTCCTTCCATCTCACAATTGTGGTTTATGGTGACATTCAAGGCAAAGTAGTGCAATGATTTGCAAATTCCTTTTGCACCTGGGATACTGAGGTTACGCCATCCCTCCTCTCAGATGTGGATTTGTTTTTAAATTTACCTTCTTCTAGCCTTTGGCTAAAGAGGTAGGATATATAAGGTAGCAGGTGGTATGAATTTTACAGTTTCCTTCACCTAGACTGGCTGCCAGCCTAGGCTATAGGACCCACTCTGTCTTGCTATTTTACATATAACCTATATATATTTTCTTATCCTAGACTTCAGGGGCTACAAAACCTAGTCTGTCCTGCTATTTTACCCATAGCTGAGGAGGACAAGAGATGGATTCATGCCTTTGCCAAGGGTATTAGCCCGTAAGTGAATTTAATAAACTCAACAGGAGTTCGAACTTGGCTCTCCGATCCCTAAGCCATTACACAATACTCCATCAAAGATTGAGTATAAGAAGGCTCGGAGAATTTGACACTCACAACATCTTGAAGGCACAAGAGCCAGAGAAAAACAACAAGTATCCTAAAAAAAAAAAAAAAACATTGCTTACAGCTACGAAAAATAAGATGTCGTGGAGAGCCATGATCTTTCACGTCCTGAAGAAAATGAAAAGGAAATCTACTGTGAACTTGGGAGCGATTTAATTTTGTTTTCTAAGCAAATCAATAAGTTTGTAGCCCAGTGATAAAATACGCGTTTATTTTACACCACAACTATTTATTTTTAACGTAAATTCCTTCCTTGTCAATGCACTTAATTCACTGATGGATATTGATCACAGAGATTGAATGCTACGATTTCAGATCCAAATATTCGTCAGGTTACAGACATATTGATTCAGTCGCGTAAATATATTGTATTTATTTATTTTCTGTTTGTGTGTTAATACCATTGCCACGAGAGTTGAAGATGGTTGGAAATGGTGAGGCGTAGGCGCCGCCTGCCGGATTTATTCCCAGACAAAAACATTTTAACCGAATCGAGGCCAGAATATGCCAAGAATTTCTTTGATCAAGAAAAAAATCGTGGAATTCGGCGTAGCAGGGAGAGGTTGTTATTTTCCATCCTAAAGAAGCAATTTCTGCCTACGACATACTTGCTCTCTCTCTCTCTCTCTCTCTCTCTCTCTCTCTCTCTCTCTATCTATCTATCTATCTATCTATCTCTGTTACTTTCTCTCTGTCTCTCGTTCTCTCTCTCTTTCCTTCTCTCTCTCACTCTCTCATTTTCTCTCAATTTCTCTCTCTTTCTCTCTTCCTTTCTCTCTGTCTGTCGTTCTCTCTCCCTCCTCTCACTTTTCTCTCTTTCTCTCGCTTACCCTCTTTCTCTCTTTTGTTCTCTCTCTCTCTCTTTCTCTGTCTCCCTCTCTTTATCTCTCTTACTCTCTCTTTCTATGTCTTTCAGTTACTCTCTCTGCCTCTCTTTCTCTTTCTTTCTCTTTTTCTCTCTTACTTTCTCTCTCTTCCTGTTTTTCAATCTTTCTCACTCTCTCTCTCTGTCTCTCTCCCTTTATATCTCTTACTCTCTCTTTCTCTGTCCCTCACTTACTTTCTCTCTCTTTTTCTCTTTCTCTTTCTTTCTCTTTATCTCTCTTACTCTCTCTCTCTCTCTCTTCCTGTTGTTCTTTCTTTCTCTTTCTCTCTCTTTCACTCTTTCTCTCTCTCTTCATCTCTCTTACTCTCTCTTTCTCTGTCTTTCACTTACTCTTTCTCTCTCTTACACTTTCTCTATCTTTCTCTCCCTTTCTTCCTGCCATTCTCTCTTTCTCTCTCTCTCTTATTTTCTCTTTCTCTCTCTCTTTCTCTCACTCACTCTCTTTCTCTTTCTCTCTCTCTCTCTCGCTCTCTCTCTCTCTCTCTCTCTCTCTCTTACTCCCTTTTTCTTTTCTCTCTAATAGCATACCTATACGGGCAGGTGTGAAATATTTTCGGTCCCACACACTTCGCAAAACTTGATCAATTTTTTTTAGAATCTCTTCATGGTCGAGAGCCGCCCTGGGTATGACGATAAACTACATCCGCGTCCTGGGTAAGACGATAAACTTCATCCGCGTCCTGGGTAAGACGATAAACTACATCCGCGTCCTGGGTAAGACGATAAACTACATCCGCGTCCTGGGTAAGACGATAAACAACATCCGCGTCCTGGGTAAGACGATAAACAACATCCGCATCCTTGGTAAGACGATAAACTTCATCCGCGTCCTGGGTAAGACGATAAACAACATCCGCGTCCTGGGTAAGACGATAAACTACATCCGTGTCCTGGGCAAGACGATAAACTACATCCGCGTCCTGGGTAAGACGATAAACAACATCCGCGTCCTGGGTAAGACGATAAACTACATCCGCGTCCTGGGTAAGACAATAAACTTCGTTCAACGGTGGTGCCTCTGACCGGGAGGTTTTGAGGTGTGTGGAACCGCCTCTTAATTGCTGGTGTTCCCGGGTTTACTCTGACCCTTGGTGGTGGCAACTGTTGGGATCCCAAATATGGACAAATAGTTTTTTTTTTTTGGGGGGGGGTATCAGCAATACATTTTTTTTTTTAAAGTTACCAGCAATACGTTTAAAAAAATTATCAGCAATACATTTTGAAAAAAAAAAAAAAAACACCTGTCAGAGAACCAGCTATGGGCAAATAGTTGACACCCAAACTGGAGACAAAACACTATGAAAGTGTAAAAATAATTTTTAATAACAACAATACATTTTTGTAAAAAATTATTACCAGCAATAAATTTTTGAAGAAAAAAGTATTAACAACAATAGATGTTTTGGAAAAAATATATTAGCAGCAAAACATTTTTGAAAAAATTATTACCTGCAATAAAAGTCTTGTCGGCATTAAATAACCCATTGAGGTATTGATATGCCGTAAAACAAACTGATGTAATGAATATGCATACACCAGGGTTCCCACAGTAATATGATTGGCTGGTGTCAGCCATAAATACAGACTGATGTGGAGGTACAAGACTACACCTATTGCCTACGCATATTGGCCTACCTATACGACGAGGACTAGTTTATTACGGTTGCCTGTTAGATTGTCCTACTCGGTTAGAGTAGTCCAAAACAACTTTGCTACTTCGAATAAATATATCCCTTTCCGGGACATCTCAGAAACTAAACCAGGGGTCAAGAGGAGAATTATCAGCACCTCGTTTCATTCTTACATTTCTCACAATTTCTTTCATGCATTGCTTTTTTCCTGGCAAAATGTTATTATAATTAGAAGTACCTGTGAAGAGTTCACGGTTCTCATATTTTAAATTTCTGATGAATCTTAATTCTTAAGATATTGCTCACTGATTAAGCAGATGGCGAGTTCTTCGACAGTAAAAACATGCGTAGAAATTCCCCTTCAGTATTCAAGCTTAACATCTTTAACAGAATATCGCAATAGCAACCATCAATACGAAGGCTGGCTGTTATTTTAAGAAGGGGATACAAAAGAAAAAATTTAAATTGGCAACTTTTTCCATTTCACTGAAACAGGCATTAAACACAGATTTATCGACTCTTCTATCTTCCTTTCTTTCATTCATTTTCTCATTGAAACCAAGTAGCGTCCCTGATATATATTTCCCGACGTGCCACGTCATTAAAACTGAATAGCCCATTATTTATGAGGCAGGGTGTAACGTTATCTCTTTTACTTTCACACTGAAACCAACTTGCTTCTCTGTTATGTATTTTTCCATCTTCCCACGCACATAGACTATTATTTATTAGACATTGGCAGGACGTAACGCTCGTGTTAACTAAGGTAGAGACAAGCATAATTATAATAAGATGCTCATACTATTAAATCATAAAAATTTAAGAGCCTTTTAAGTATATTTCTACTCTTTCAAGGAGTCGAAATTTTCGAGGGTGTTCATAAACGCTACGCTTTTGACAAAAGATATTGCGACCTTGTGATGCAATAAATGGTTGATAACAATATAAACGATTTGCATGCAACATATTCTTATGTCAGGCTGCACTTTTTGCACCTCTTTTTGACTTTCATATCTACAATTGTTCCAAGGAATATCTCCAGGAAAAAAGGTGTCCTTGTTGTTTCCCCTTATATTTCTATCAGATACCGAGAGGGAGAAAAGCGATATCAAATGAAAGAAAGAAAGAAAGAAAGAAAGAAAGAAAGAAAGTAAGAAAGAAAGAAAGAATAGTGAACACTTCAAAAAAAGAAAGAAAGACGGGAGTAATGAACAGTTTCAAAAAGATAGAAAAAAGAAAGACGGGAATAAAGAAGATTTTAAAAAAGAAAGAAAAAGAAAGAAAAAAACGGAAATAATGAACACGTTCAGAAAGAAAGAAAGAAAAAAAGAAAGGAAGAAAGCAACAATGAAGACTTTCAGAAAGAAAGAAAGACGAGAATATTGAACACTTTAAAGAAAGAAAGAAAGAAAGAAAGAAAGAAAGAAAGAATGGAATAAAGAAAAATTTCAAAAAAAGAAAGAAAAACGGGAATAATGAACTCTTTCAGAAAGAAAGAAAAAAGAAAGAAAGAAAGAAAGACAGAAAGACGAAAATAAGGAAGACTTTCAAAAAAAGAAAGAAAGAAAAAGTAAGAAAAAACGGAAATAATAAACACTTTCAGAAAGAAAGAAAGAAAGAAAGAAAGAAAGAAAGAAAGAAAGAAAGAAAGACAAGAATATTGAACACTTTCAAGAAAGAAAGAAAGACTGGAATAATGAAACCTTTCAAAAAGAAAGAAAGAAAGAAGGAAAGCAGAAGTGTATAATGAACACTTAAGGATTGAATCAATAAATTGCCATCAGCTGTAACCCGATTGCTACACAATTTGCCTTGAAAGGACCATTCGCTAGCATGAATTTCACCTACTCTGTGCGCCCCAAATGCGCAACCTCGTGCTGCACGAATCCAAGCTTTGTAAAAATCAAGAACGAAAAGGTTTCGTAGGTGACTTGGTCAAAAAACGAACACGCCAAAAATGTGGCACAAGAAAAGCATCCCACCCCCAAATCTTCCATATTAAACGCACGAATAAGCAAAAGTGAAAAATAAAAACATGAAAGCCCTCTCCTTGCCAGCAATGTTGTAGTGAAAAAAAAAAAACGACAACCGGAAACCAGTCGCTGTAAGAATCACGTCAAATTCAATAAATCATGCAAAATGGTGACGACGGGGATGCGTCTAAAGTAAAAGAGATGTTGCCGGGAGAGGTTTTTATAAAATGTTGATAGTGGTGTAGTAACGACATAAGAAAGAAAGAAAGAAAGAAAGAAAGAAAGAAAGAAAGAAAGAAAGATTGAAAAAAAGCAAGAAAGACTGAAAGAAAGAAAGGAAAAAAAAAAGAAAAAAGAAAGTAAAAAAAGAAAGAAAGTAAAAAAGAAAGAAGTAAAAAAGAAAGAACGGAAGAAAGTAAAAAGAAAGAAAGAAAGAAAGAAAGAAAGAAAGAAAGACTGAATGTAAGAAAGAAAGAAAGAAAGAAAGAAAGAAAGAAAAAAGAAAGAAAGAAAGACTGAAAGAAAGAAAAAAGAAAAAGAAAGTAAAAAAGAAAGAATGTAAGTAAAAAAGAAAGAAAGAAAGAAAAAAAGAAGTAAAAAAGAAAAAAGAAAGTAAAAAAGAAAGAAAGAAGTAAAAAAGAAAGAAAGAACGAAAGAAAGTAAAAGAAAGAAAGAAAGAAAGAAAGAAAGAAACACTAAAAGAAAGAAAGAAAGAAAGAAAAAAGAAAGAAAGACTGAAAGAAAGAAAAAAGAAAAAGAAAGAAAGTAAAAAAGAAAGAAAGAAGTAAAAAAGAAAGAAAGAAAGGAAGAAAGACTGAAAGAAAAAAGAAATAATGAAAATCTGAAAGAAATAAAAAAGAAAGACTGAAAGAAAGAAAGAAAGAAAGAAAAACAAGTTGTCCGCGCGTGTTATCATTCGGAATCGAGCAAAATTCCATCCATTAAAGAAAGGAATCTTTCTGCCTCATCATTAAAACCTTACCACCTACGCCCATTGTAACGGCTCCCCGATTTTTTTTTCGCTGAAGTAGGCGTCAAAAAGTAGCCTGTTAAACCCCAAAGACCAATCGCATTTGTGTTTTACGAGGCGAGCCGCTTCTGTTGGAGGAACGAGTCTGAAAAAGTTGTCGGACGGAAATCAGGATAAATTTAACGTGTTTAACAGACGCTGTGTGTCGTTTAAGTTTTTTTATCTTATTTTTCAATTCTCTCTTTTACCTTCATTTATTTATTCATGTTTTGTTTGCGAAGCGCCCCAATTTCTTCTTCGTATCTGCTTTTTTGTTTTGTTTTGTTTTTTTCTAAAGAAAATATGATTTAATTATTGCTTTTGGCTCGAGAAAGCTTCTGTCGGTTTAAAATTTCGTCACATGATGAGAAAAAACAGAAATATCAAAATAAATAAAGTCAAAAACAGGCGTATATATCAGTGTCGAATTAAGTTAATGCGAGACTATAACATATAATATATATATATATATATATATATATATATATATATATATATATATATATATTCCAGGTGTAACAACAAAAAATCTAAATCGTGCCACAACATAATTATCCATCCACCAAAATATTTAATACCTAAAAAACCACTAATTACGTTTTTTCCAGGTTTTCTGATGAGACGTTTAGCCATCTTGACATCATTTGTCGTAAGAATCAATGAAAAACCCGTTGAGTTATTCGGCTAGAAAGAGAACACGATAAAATCATTTTGTGCCAGTCCCACTGTCTTCCGAAATGAGTAATGGTGAGAGGAAAATGATCATTCGCGTCTTCAATAATGGTACCATGCACTGGCTTCTATCTTCAAAGTCCATTCAAGAACAATCAAGAGAATGGTGAACGAGTTTAAAAAAAGGGGGAACAGTAGAAAGAAAAACTGGATCAGGAGGTCACAACAGGAAGAGGGGTCTTCATTTTCAAATTACAGCTCAATTAGAAAAGATCCAACACAATCCATAAAAAGTTTGACACATAAGAGAGGAGTTTCAGCTTTCACTCAAAAGAGCAGTTAAAAAAGACTTGAAAATTATTCCAAGACAGAGGTTGGAGAGGGAAAATTCATCTTGAATAAGTTGGAAAATTATCCTGGAATACATATATATATATATATATATATATATATATATATATATATATATATATATATATATATATATAAGAAGCAAATATATGGATATAGATCCGACAGTATGAAGAAAAAATATACGGAAAAAACAAAACAAAAATCCTTATATACGATTATGTTGTTTTAATGTTAATTTGTCAACGTCTGACGTTTCGGTCTAATAAACCATCTTCAGGACATATTCATAAATTATAACATTATCAATATAACATGACAAAGACGATGTACATAAGAACAAGACTTATCCAAACAAATAACTGAAAGTTTTATAAGATCAGCGTTCCTTTTGAAACATGTTCACGTTGTCGTCACGTGGGCGACGCTGTGAAAACGTATTCCTACAATTTTGAGTATTTTGAATGAAAAATGAATAGAATTCTATTTTGGACTAAAATTTATATGTACGCTCGTCGAGCATTAATCTCGCTAAAAAAGGGGAAATATTAAAGAAACCAGGTCTAGTATTCACCGTGCTGATATTATAAAACTTTCAGTTATTGTTTGGATAAGTCTTGTTCTAATGTACATCGTCTTTGTCATGTTATATTGATAAATGTTATATTTATGAATATGTCCTGAAGATGGTTTATTATAAACGAAACTTCAACGTTGACATATTAACATTAAAACAACATAATCGTATATAAAGATTTTGTTTTTTTTTTTTTTATTTTTATTTTCTTCATATATATATTAATCTTAAACATATCATTTTAGTTTTGAAATCAGATTTCATCACGATTTTTCTGTTAAGCTTGAGAATACACTATTTACATTATTCGGACTACTGTCCTGATCTTCGTCGCCATATTAATAAATATGCCGACCAAGATGAGGACAATAGTCCTTTCATTGAATCCACTGTGCCATGTGTCTTCAAGGACAGATGGCACAGTGGATAAAGTCATTAGTTAGATCCAATGACAGGACCCAAAGAGTGTGAGTTCAATACCCGGTTAAAGCAGTGGAGAACTTTCAGAGGGAAATTAACAGGAGATAACTGATAACTGACATCCATCAAACATGGCACGTGGAACTAGAACAGTCTACCCCAGTGAGCGAAATAAAGGGTTCAGTTCGACATTCCAACCACCTGAAGAAGGCCGGAGCGTACAACGGCCGAAACGTTGTGATAAATATGGCGACAAAGATGAGGACAATAGTCGAATAATGTAAATAATTATATATATATATATATATATATATATATATATATATATATATATATATATATATATGTGTGTGTGTGTTTCACAGATTTTCAGTGTCGCTAGACGTCCGATTGCTTCAAGACGGGATCGACACTCAATCAGAGATCCTACACCTAAGCCGTTGTAAAAAAGGGAAAATTTTAGCCTTTTTCTATACGAAATGCACCAGAGGATAAGAGAATTCGTACTTGAAGAGTAATGCATTTATAGCAGCAGCAGCCATTGGTTTTATTAAATTTACCTTTTTCTCTGGAGAGCTCTATCGAAAGGTCTCCGAGAGCATATATATATAGTCATCCACAGACAAACTGTTTCGCTGTATCACAGCCCTTCAGTGTGGCTAGACGTCCGATTGCTTCAAGCCGGAGTCGAATATAGATATTTAAGAAGTTAAATATTATAGAAGTTAAATATTTAAACTGCTAACAAGCATTAAATTTAATTTCTTTGTGTCTTTAAATATTTAAATTACTATCAAACGTTAAAATCTGTTTATCTAAATTACTAAAACTATACCACCCCTCTCCTTCCTCCAAAAACCCTACGTACGTCTCTTATATCTTATCTCTTTACTTCCCCCTTTTTTTCTTCCTTTTCCCTTTTTTTCCTTTTCTCCTATTCCGATATCATTTCCACTGAGTTGACCGATTAAATAGGTCAATGTCTGATCCTTACCCACCTCCTTCCTCAATATTAAGTATTGTAATAAAAATAAAAATAAATTTTAAAACTCTCCCTTCCCTCTCTAAACTCGACCATGTCTCTCACACTATTCCTTGTCACCCTCTATGTAAACTTATATAAGCTTAATACTGCCCGTCAAAAATTTAAATTTTAAATTCATTTTTAGTTTCACCTTTGAAAGTGAAATCTGAAGATACAGAGAAAAATAAAATTCTCTGGTGAAATAAATTATAACAAATGGAGCCTTAAAGCGGTCTGTTTTTCTTTAAATTAAATTATTCGCTCTGAATTAACATTGAGCTCTAGGAACTCCATCCGCTTTGAGATAATCCATACAGATTACCAATATTTTCGTTACTTATATATATATATATATATATATATATATATATATATATAATTGTGTTTTTAGGTAAAATGTATATTTTTTATACAGGTTTCTTTCAAGACGAAAGCGTTTTTAAAAAAACAAGACTGTTTTTTTAACTCCCGTAAATGATTTCTTTGCTGACTATAGTGGATGTAAGAACAGTACAAATGATCTTTCGACAAATTTATTAATATGTAGGAGGATTTTTTTTAATTGATTGATCCTATAAAAAATCAAATTCGATCCTTGTTGTAAAAATTGATTAATATTCGCTCTGTTTTTGACATTTATTGCTACATTGTACTAAAGACAATCTTTCAAACGTAAATAGCGCTTGCGGCCGCATCATGTTTCCATCGGTTTAAATGATTGAAAAAGATTAAACATTACTTCGAACCTTCACCTTTTTACGGAAAATTATATATCAAAAATGTAGAGATAAAGTTTCCCTTTGTTACGGGACCTTACCCATAATAACATAATGGACTATTCCATACGTAATAAATACTGCGCCTCAAGAGGAAGCAGGGAGTTCAGTCTGAAATCGGACGACCGGCTGATCGGTTGAACTCTCTGCCTTCGGGCGGGGAGGAACCCGAATGAGGCTACGCCGAAGGGCGGAGTCTCTTTCGGAGAGGTAAACCGACCCTGAACCCGTTTATACGTGTTCAAAGGACATATTTTTGGCCGAACCCCCGGGCTCGGAGATCCCACGTTAAACCGGCTTTGTGCCACATGATACCCTCGTGGTGGGTGGTGACTAAATACTGTTCAGTCTGAAGTCTGGAGTGAGGTCCGTCAAGAAGTCAGTCAGTCAGTCTGTCAGTCAAGAGTCAGCGAGTCAGTCAGTCAGTCAAAGGCAGTTCAGTCCGAAACAGAGTCGCGTTCAGACAATTACTACTAAACCTGATTGTTCGTACTAACACTTTCTACTTCTCTGTATATATTCCTGTTTGTAATATATCTGTGTTATTCCATATCCGTGTTCGAGTTCTTCTTTATTGGTTCTACCTTGGACTATCACCCGGGGTACAAGGAACCGGACCATAACAATTAGTAAGATTTCTATCACTAAAACCATCCCACCAAAAAAAAAAAATGCGTGCAAAATATTTAGATTTTGGCATTAAATAACCCATGGAGGTGTTAATATGCCGCTAAACAAAATCAACCAAACTAAACAAACATAAATATCTCTAGTTCTGTATAGTGGATGCAAATATCTTTTTTTATTACAGAATTTTCATTACCTTTCCTTCTTATCTTCCTGAAAAAAATATGTTTCTTGAAAGATCGTTTAAATTTCATTGGGACCTGGTACTGGCTGCTCGGTCAATGAATTCTGAATGTTTCCTTATAAGGAAACAGTTGATATTACCATTATCATTCAACTTTGCTGACGGTCTGATTTTGACATTTTTCTATTCGGCCTTCAAAATCGAACTGGGATCAATGTTATACAACAGGATATCTTTTCTCCACACCGTTAACGGCAATGGTAAGTTTTGCCGTTTCCTGATAAGGAAACATTTGGCATCCATTGATCGAACGGCGACGCTTTTCTTCATTCTCTGGGCTCTGACAGCGAATGCTGGACAATCTCCTCAAATATGAAGGGATTTTAAGCAACAGAAATATGGTTCTACAGAAAGATGCTGAGGATACCCTAGACCGAATATCTGAGCAACGAGTTTTCGAGAAAATGGAAACAAAAAGAACACTTATATTTAATATCAAAGAAAGACAGTTTGAAATTTTTGGAGCACATAATGAGGAAAAGATTTTTTTGGAGTATACCATTTGATATGGGGACACAGGAGAGATTAAAAAGAGAAAAACAACACATAAAAATTTTTGGTGAGCATCAATGTTTTGTATGAAATGTATTATCGGATAGGGGAGAGAATAAAAAAGATAAAATTTAAGAGCTTCAAAGGAAAGGAAGATGTGGGGAGACATGATCGCCAACGTACTGATGGGACACTGAACACAGAAGAAAAGCTTGTGTCCATGAAATAGCCTTGAACAACATTAACTAACCACAATAGCGGGCTGTTCATATATCAACTTACAACTTCTCAAACAATAAACGGTTTTAAATACAATTTTAACGGAGCAGTCTACATATTTTGTGATTTATATTTTCCATTAAAACTACTTCAAAACAATCCTTATTTCTCCAGGTGACATTTCTAAAGTGATAAGAAATAACAGGTGTCTGTCGGAGCTAGAGGGTGTAAGTCTATTAACAATGTCTTCTGAACAACACTGCCAGCATAATTGCAAATGCCAATAGTCTAAATCAACTCATTAATTTTAAAAAAATTAAATATATGGATCTGTATATTGACCAGGTTGTTAAACATTCAATATAAGCCCGGATGTAAAAAAGCTGGGCCCAAGGTTAAATGATACTGGTAAACAATTTAACAATGACTGACAATAAATAAAGTATTCATTCTCTTTTAGTATATGCTATATTGATCTAATTCACATATCTATCTATCTATCTATCTATCTATCTATCTATCTATCTATCTATCACTTTCTTTATTCTATATCTCCCGTTCATCTCTGTCTCTCTTAACCTCTCTCTTTGTATTTCGGATCTCTCTATAAATTCTTTTCATCTGAAATGTTATATTTATGGATTTTAAAAATTTCTATGTCTGGTAATATAAATAAATATTTAATAGGCCGTTTAATGAAATTTGCGATAAATAAATTCGTCATCTCTCTCTCTCTCTGTCTGTTCTTTATTTTCTCTTTTATATCTATCTATATGAATATCTATCTATCTATCTATAAAATCTATCCTTTCTCATTCTATATCTCCCGTCCATCTCTATCTCTCTTACCCTCTCTCTTTATCACTCTGTATCTTTCTATCTCATTCTATACATCTTAGGCCGTTTAATAAAATTTGCGGAATAAAAAGCCAACAAAATCATTGCAATGTTTGCAATAACACTGATGATTTTTGAATATATCCGTATTTTTCACTAAAAATATGAAAAAAGTTTTAAAAATCAAATAATATATATATATATATATATATATATATATATATATATATAAGAATAAAAATATAGGAAATTAAAAATAAAATATGCAAGTATGCTGACCCAAAATAAAATTATTTCAATGTCGACGTCAGACGTTTTCGGTCTTAGACTTTTTTCAGAATTTAGTTATTAAAACATAATTAAAATTATGTCTATCGTCTTTTATCGAAAATATTATATATAAAAAATATCGTCTAATTTTAATAGTATGTTAATAATATGTCCAAAAAAGAAGGTCTATAGACCGAAACGTCTGAATTCGACATTGAAACAAACATATTTGCATATTCGGTTTTTTGTTTTGATAGATTTTTCTTATACTTTCAATACAATCAAAGAAGCAATAAATGATATAAATTTTTACACACTTAAACATAACACACACACACACACATTTATTACACACGATCCATTTATATATATATATATATATATATATATATATATATATATATATATATATATAAAAAAAATATGAAATAGTGGTTCCAACGAGAGAAAAGTATGTATATTAAAAAAAAAGAAGAGAGGTGCCGCAAACGTTTTTGGTTGTAATGTGGATTTATTTAGAAAAAATATTATGCTTTGTTTTACATAATTTTACGACACGTGTTTCTGGTCTCGCGACCGTCTTCAGGTAAAAAGTGGAGATTTTACATATTATTAAAAATAATTAATTTTTTTTCTTCATGTTCAATGTTAAATATTCTCGATATGAGACATTCTCTGTTTGTGTGTTGGTAATCCGAATTTTCTTTCTTGAATTGTCAATGAAGAGTTCTGCGCGAAGGGTCATAAAACAATTAAGGTTGGTCCAGAGTATATTATCGTTATCGGCATTTAATCTTTTAATGTTTTAGTGACCCCTATGTGCTCTTGGATCTGTTTCCATTTTTTGTGTGTTCCTGTCAGCATGCGTGTATATATGCGTGCGTATATTTCCCCTCCATACATATATTGTCTTACTACGAGGAATTCGTAAACTTATTTGTACCTATACACGCATACACACACAAACGCACATACATACTATCCCAATACAATTAATCAGTACACATATATACATATATTGAAATAATATTATTTATACATGGAACCAGTACATACACACACATATACACACACGTACTTCTTAAGTTGTCAACAGAAACATATACATAAATAAAATATGCATGTATGTGTACATATATATATATATATATCCTCTTTTTAAATTTTGGAACAATTAAATTTTAACCTCTTTATATATATATATATATATTTGAATTAAAAATAAGAAATTGTTCCAAAATGAAAAAAAAATAAATTTTTTGTTATATAAAAATAAAGTGTCGCTGCTGACCCTTGCGTTTGAACATGGACCGCCAGTGAACAAACACAGACGATCCCATTATTGATTTAAGTAGATCACGTGACCATATAAAAAAAACATATATATAAAAGTGACGTCAAAATGTTTAAAATCTCTTCAATTTTCTGTTTTTCTATACTATACAGACACGAAATGAAATTCATCTTCTCTACTCTATTCACTATACGAAGTACTATTAGCACGAGTATTATTCGAAGGCGTCTGACACTAGTATTGTTCAGTATTATTCGTATTAAAGTTGTATCTGCGATTACAAAGTCTCTACTACGTTTAAACTTTTCTTTGGCAAATTCCTCAATCGTTTGAAGACACAGCAATTTTTAAAGAATAAATTTGAAACCGCAAACGTTTTTGGATATAATGTGAAAATAAAAGTATATATTTTTTTCAAATCCACATTATAAAAAAAAATATATATATATATATATATATATATATATATATATATATATAATAATATAATATAATATAAAAATATTCATCAAACACTAATATTCCATTTTTATAAAAATTACATTGGAATCGTAATCATGATCAAATTTCAGACCTATGATTTAAAAAAATTTTTTTTTGAAATTTCTTTTGAATGAAATGTATATATGATTAGGTTCCAAATTAGAAAAAAAATTTTTAAAATGGATTCAAGTTTGAGTTTTTATATTATATTCTTTATCTGTCCTGGACATTGAGCTCTTTGGATTCTATATCAGAAAAAATTTATATATATATATATATATATATATATATATATATATATAAAGAATAACAATAAGATATATAATATATAAAAATGCTTGAGGATGAAATGGAACTAATGTTTTGAATTTAATTACAAAAAATTAAATTAGGACCTTCCATTTTTAAAAAAACATGGTTAGAACTGTATAGCGGAAAAACCATATTTCAAATCAATTAATATATATATATATATATATATATATATATATATATATATAAATATATATTAATATTCTCTCTATTTTTCATTCTCTCTTTGTTGTGTATATCTATCTATCTATCTATCTATCTAATCTATATATATATATATATATTTAGAACATCAGATAGATGTTTAAATATTTGAAAATATTAGCCAATAAATATATATATATATATATATATATATATATATCAATTTTGATTGGCAAAACGAAAATCAAGAGCATATTTCTGTACACGGCGCTTTCATTAAATTTTTTGACTGATAAGTCCAATGAGAATTAAGACAGGCATACACGGTCGCAGTAATTACAGTTGAAATCCGACCTGGGCTTTGATAGCCTAGCGTTCAGATTTCCTGAATGTTGCCTCTTGTCCCTGATTATAAATATATTTATACAAAATTTTAAAGAAGGAGACAGCATTATTGGTGATGAGATGCCAGATGTCACGGTTCTCAGCTAGGGTTGAGAATAATAATAATAATAATAATAATAATCAAGAAGAAAACCTAAAAGATTCATTTCGGTTATAATTTATTTCATGAATATCTATATATTCATCTCTTCAGACCGAAATGTCTTAGAAAATGGCGACAATACTCCGAACATTAGATTGACAGGGGGAAAGGAAAGCAAGAGAAGGAGGGGAAGAAGAAAAGTGACTTATGGTCAAGTTATTTTAATGTGAAATAAAGAAAGGGTATGAAAAGGAAAAGGAAGAAAAAAGTAATGAATGGGTAATAGTAAGCCTAAAAATACTGACCCGGCCAAGAATTTTTCCCTTAAAATGTTGAACTTTGTACACCGGATTATACAGCAAATTGAACTATATAAACCGTTATTTTAGGCAGGACAAATCAGCCTTTATATATATGTAAATTATATTTCAGATACAATGTATCTGATAAGGAACTACTATACTTAGCCGACGCGTTTCGTCCTCTGAAAAATTTATCAAGGCGAAACGCGTCGACTAAGAATAGATTTTCCCGTATTTACATTAGTCGGACTATTGTCCTCATCTTTGTCGCCATATTTGTCACAACGTTTCGGCCGTTGTACGCTCCGGCCTTCTTCAGGTGGTTGGAATTTCGAACTGAACCTTTTATTTCGATCGCATTTAGATGTTCTAGTTCCACAAATGCCATGTTTGATGGATGTCAGTTATCAGTTATCTCCTGCTAATTTTTCCCTCTGAATTTTCTCCACTGCCTTATTACATGGCACAGTGGATAAAGGCGAAAAGTTAGATCCAGTGACAGACCCAAGAAGGTGAGTTCAATTCCTGGTTAAGGCATGGAGAACTTTCAGACCGAAACGTTGTGATAAATATGGCGAAAAAGATGAGGACAATAATCCGGTCTAAAAATAAACAACTGTAAATTTTACCTCATCTCAGAAATATAGACAGACTCTGATAGATTTTCCCATATATTGTTTCTGGCATAGTGTGTATTCTAATAGGTAAATCATGTTATGACTTCTACAGTTAGAGTTCTGGTAGAATTTAAATGTAGATTTCGTGACTGAGCTAGTGAACGAATTGGTGTGTTTAATGTGGTTACAACATAGGCTCCTTTTGTTGTTACATGGTTGGAAAATTCTTTTGTTATATGGAGATATGATACAGGCCTCTATATGGACGACTATTTGATAATCTTAAGAAATTGTAATAAACAAAAAACAAACAAAACCAGAAAAACAAAACATTTTTTTCAAAAATATGGGATTCGACATAGACATAAAAAAGTAACCTAAAGGAAGTAGATCTTATAGATATCACCTTCAAACTAAGAAAAGGTACATATCAATCATATAGAAAACCTAATGACAAACCAATCTCAATTGACATCTTCAAATCACCCACTATCAATAATAGGTTATCTGACAATTCTGCAAGTGAAACCATTGTCGATGAAGCCAACAAGATTATTTAACAGCCCTAAAAAGTTCCGGTCTTTCGACAACATTCACATAGCGCCCCCCAAAAAAGCCAGCAGAAAAAGAAAAATCATCTGGTTAGACCCACCGTACAACAAAAACGTAAAAACAAACGGAGGAAAAATACACTTCCCAACATCAAGCACTCCCCACGAAATATTGAACAAAAACAAACTAACAATCAGCTGCAGTTAAACCGAAAACATGACGTAAATATTAATCAAAACACAAGAAAATATCCAACAAACCACCCGCACAAATGCAACCCACGTTTAACTGCAGAACAAAAAACGAATGTCCCTTAAGCGGCAATTGCTTACAGAACAATGTAATATACTGAACCACTGTAAAATCAGCAGAAAACGAAGAACAAATATACATAGGAGTAACTGAAAACCCCTGGAAACAAAGAAATTACATACACAAAACATATTTTGCAAATAGCAAATAGACGAACAGCACAATGCTTTCTAAACATGTATGTAACATTAAAAACAAAAAACAAATCACACCAAAGATATCATAGAAAATCAGGAAAACAGCACCACAAAAATAAAT